CTCTGCTCCAACACACCTGATTCAGTGGCTTAATTACTTCCTTGAGCGTGGCAGAAGCCTGTTAATCACCCTTTCATTCAAATCAGGTGTGTTGGAGCAGAGGAACAACTAAAACAAGCAGGATGGTGTTCCTCAGGGACCAGGGTTGGGAACCACTAGTTTAGAGCATCACAGTCAAATGTCTGATTCAAACCACAGGGTGTGTTTTCTAAAGCACATGTCAACAAGCAAAAGGGAATTTTATAAAATAAGACCGACACATGACTAAAGAGCACCCACCGGGCCATAGTTTCTCGCACTCTGCTGGCAAACAGGGCTGGACTTTTCTTCTCGTCCTCTGTGGGGACGTGTGGTGGCAGGAACTGGAAAATTTTAAAACAAACATTAGAAAGTTTACAAGAACCATCAAGCAAAAAAAAAAAAAGTTTTACCCCTGCTTAAAAACCAGAAAGAAAAAAAAACATGCAGGCTGGACAAAAATAAAATACTACCACAAAACAATGTCATCAGTTTTATTTAAATCAATACTGCAAACCATCTTCTATAGCAGAACTTATAAAGAGTTTTTATTATATATCAAGATGCATAAACATGGGGGCAACAGAATGGCTGTTACCTCAATCTCAACGGTGGTGTAGAGCTGGCACATGGTCAGAAGCAACAGAGTCTTCCTGAACACATCACATATACAGTTGTACAGAATATCTATATTTATAATGCATGCTGATATTTCTTTATTGTTATTAGGAACTGTCAACTGACAAATAAATAAATAAATAATAAAAACTGATGATGACTAAAAACTAAAAAAATAAAGACTCACGAGCTGAAACCTTGCCATGTCCAAGTCACAGTATCCTAAAAATAAACAAATATATAAATCATAATAATGACAAATAGATATGTTGGAATCTAAAAACAACTGACAAAACATTAAAGCAAAAAATGAACAAGTAAACAACTGATATTAAGAATGAATTATGTGATGTATTTTAGTGGAACGGAAAACCTTTTATTGTTGTCTCGTTCATTTTTTGTGTTTTTAGTTCTACTTTTTCATATTTACCTTCTGAATCAAATTACATATAAGGTTCTAAAAGTGACGGTGTAGATAGTGTGATGTTATGTGACAGTCAGGGTATCTCACCAGTTTGTTTGGGTATCTGATAATAACAGGCTGCACAGGGACACATGGGATAAATGCTCCTACAGGAGGAAACATGTAGCATGAATTAGTAGGAACTTCCAAACATGTTAATATAAAACACGATCAGTGTCCAGCTTTTAGACTTTTGGATCTTTTTGGGTTGACATCACTATTTCACAACTCACTTCAGAGCAGAAATCACACTCGGGTTTGATGGCAGGATCTAACATCAGGTCACGTTTGTTGAACAGAAAAAAAAATGTTGGATGTGCACTGATGTAGAGAAAGAAACTCAAACTAAAATGCAAAGTGTTTGCATTTTTATTATTAGTTTTTTTTTTTGTGCTTTTATTGTGTGTTAACTACATTATACTGAATATTAAACTTCAAAAAGACATGTCATTACAGTATATTATGATATATATATATATATATATATATATATATATATATATAT